CCATCACTTACACCTCTGGTTTGGAACGCGGGCAATCTGACCCTATGCTATAGTTATTTGTGCATCTGTCTTAGCTCCTTTATCAGACTCTTAAAGGGAAGAAACCCTTCTACATATTTTCCACAGTGCCTGGAATAGTTTTTGGTACATTCTAGAGATCAATAAACATCCCTAGAATGAGTGAATTAAAGTGACAGGCAACTGAAGAGTTAGATTTTATGCTTTATTAAAAAGTGAGGTCCTTTTGTTGTAGATTTTCATAGAACTTTTCAAAACTGATAAAATGAAACTTGCTCATGATAGAATCTCCAAATGTTATCCCCAGGATAGGTTCTGGAATAGTAATATAGAAAGCCTTCTTGTAAACCCATGAAAAGCATTCCAAAATGTCAAAGCTCCTTGGTTTAAAAACAATGATAATGACATTAATATGGAAAACACATGCGGTAATTAAGGATCTATATGTATGTGTGCATGCACTGTGTTAGTTTTTTTTTTTTTTACTGGATTGACATACCTACTTACCAAAGAATAGAACGTATTTGTGACACAGAATGTTAAGATAATTTGTTGGTAACACATGCATTGCTACAAGTTATAACAGTAAGAAAAAACATTATAAATTAAAGTACCCATGGGTCATTCAACTCAGCTGGCAATACACCTGAATAAAAAGGGAGAGCTAGACTTAATCTCCAAGCCTGTCATTTATTTCTTTCACACAAAATGTATGGGACACAGGTGGCCAGAAGTCAAAGATCATACTCTGCCTGAACGCTTCAGAAGGCACGGTACAAATGTATGGGACCTGCTGGGTGAAATCAGAAAGTCACTAGAATGGGGTATGATTTTAGTGACCCAGGTCAAAGGCCATACAGCTTTTGGTGTTTTACAAATGTTTGACAGATTAAATACCCACCTCCTAGGGATAACAAATAGGCCATGGAGCTAAAACTATTCATAAGCATTAAAGCTTCATTCAGAATTCTCCTTATGAAGGATGCAGGTCACAAGGATTAGTAATATGGTTACAAAAATTTTTTCCCGTTGTTGAAAAACTGTACTCTGGACAATACCCCTGAGTGTAATTGCAGGTCACCCAATATGAAGACTAGAAAAACAAAAAAGAAAAGAGTAAAAAAAAGCAGCAGTTATACCCAGACATGTCCTTCTCTGAAATGCAGCATTACCTTTTTAGGATTCTTTCATATTTTGCCAAGTATTTTTTTTCTTGGATAGAGTGTCATATTATCACTAATCTGCGTAAATTATTTTGCTGATATTCAGCACTTTTTTATAGTTCACTATCTCTAGAAAGTTGACCTGATACAAGGATATGTTTGACAAATAATCCATGGGTGTTATAAGGACAATAATGTATGGTATTGTGTGGAGAAGTGCTTTATACATTTTGTAAAATGCTCTGAAATTAAGGCAGTATTATGATTTAACACAGTATCTCTTTATTCTTACTTGAACTCTTGTGATAGTATGCTCACAAAATTAGATTGTGTTGTTATATGCCTCTCCCTCTTTTGGTGTTCTTTTACAATTTGAAAAGAATAATTTAGTTTTCTTGGTGGCTTTATGTAAACCAATGGTTTAAGTTACTGTAAGTCAGAATCACCCGGAGGGATTGTTACAACACAGATTACTGGGTCCCAGCCCAGAATTAATTTTTTTTTTTAATTTAAAAATTTTGTCAGGGCTTCCCTGGTGGCGCAGTGGTTGAGAATCTGCCTGCTAATGCAGGGGACACGGGTTCGAGCCCTGGTCTGGGAGGATCCCACATGCCGCGGAGAAACTAGGCCCATGAGCCACAACTACTGAGCCTGCGCATCCGGAGCCTGTGCTCTGCAACAAGAGAGGCCGCGATAGTGAGAGGCCCGCGCACCGCGATGAAGAGTAGCCCCCACTTGCCACAACTAGAGAAAGCCCTCACACAGAAACGAAGACCCAACACCGCAAAAATAAATAAATAAATAATAATGATAAAAAAATTTTTTTCAGCTTTAAGGTATAATTGACAAAACCTGTATATATGTAAGGTGTAGAACATGACCGTTTCACATCGATTTACACTGTGAAATGGTCACCACAATCAAGCTAATTAGTATTCATTACCTCACTTAGTTACCTTCATTTTTTCTCCTTTTCATTCCTCCATCCCCCTCCCTTCTGGCAACCACCTGTTTGTTCTCTGTATCTATGAGTCTGCTTCTATTTGTTCATTTGTTTTGTTTTCTTTTAGATCCCACAGAACTTTTTATTCAGTAGTGGGGTCCAAAAACTGGCATTTCTAACAGATGCCCCCAAAATGCAGGTGCTGCTGGTCCAGAGATCACACTTAGTATCCACTGATCTAAACAACATGCCATTACAACAACAGTGTTTTCTTTAACAGTGACCCTTAGACCATCTGAAAAGTATTTTAAAAGAATTTTTATTAATTTTCCTGAATCCTGCGAAATTTGCTATCAAGATCGTTGTTACTGTTCTTTGATATCCGAGGTAATGCTGATTGTTTGTGCTGGAAAGACTATGACTGAAAACTCAAGTCATTCATTTTCTAAATTAAACAATGGTTGTCTGTTTGTACTCTTACGGATTAATTACTGTTTCCAGGATCTTCTACATGTGACTTCTTTTTCATCAGAAGTGGTAAGAGCCACCTCTGCCTCTAATACCTTCATTTTATATTGGCTATTGTCAGCTTTTTTTTCCCCCAGAAGGCAATGCCTTTGTCACATAGATTTTATATCTATTTACAGTAATCCCAGTTTACTCTAGTTTTAACACATAGTATGAAAAGTCTTAGAGAAACAGTGCCAAAATCTTTCATATTCACTTTAGCAGAGGTGAGATGTTTTGAGTCTACTGTCAATATCAGACTTTCAATTCCAGAACTTATTCATGTTGTTCTAGACAAAGAGATTTGCAGAAAGAAGATGGGGACCTAGGGATACAGGATTTGAACAAACCACTCAGCCCTTAGCATCACATCAAAACGCTGCAGTGGGTATTGCTGTTGGTTTGCTAGTGTAGAATTTTATCCTTTAATCTCCCTCTAATTATGTAGTTTTCTTTGAGGCTATTTCTCTATTGATTTATTTAGATCAAGAGATAGAGGAAAGTAAGTAATAGTCTTGGTTCCCATTATTTTCTAACTGATAGTAATTAGTTCTAATTCTAATTCTCAGGATACTTTATTGTCGATGCTAAGTTTTAGTTATTAGCTATGATTTCAATAATTATTCATGCATTGGATCCTAATGTGAAACTTCTTTACGATTTCTATTTATGCACACATGCAAATACCACACACAGGGTTTTCAGTCTTAAAAAAAGAAATAGGAAAGGATTAATAGCAGGCAAGTAAAGGGATATGGTCAATGTAAAAACACATGCTAATAATACATTGTGCTTCACTCTGCTATTTAACAACCTCCTGGAAACATAGATGTGACATCTGTTTTTAGATTTTCAAACTGATTTTTATTTTTAGCCTAATTATATACATACATATATATGCATGTATTATATGTATAAACATATAGTGTACACATATATATTTTGTGTGTGTGTGTGTGTGTGTGTGTGTGTGTGTATCCCCAAGGGGATAACAGAGACAATACAGAGAAAGCATTATGTAGGGCAAAGGTGTAAGTATGAGAAGTTATAAGAGCAAAACAAACAATGACAAAAACATTTAGGTTTGTTCTTTTGCTTATTTTCTCCTGAAAATCTGCCTAATTCTACAGAAGGATACGCTCACAGGTTACAGCTCAGTTTCACTTTCCTCCTCTCATTCAGGATCCCATCCAGTCTACCAAAATTGTAGGAAAAGTCCTGCTGTAATTTATAACAGACTGTAAAAGAATCAACTGACATTTCTTTAAGATGAAAAATATTTTTTCCAAAAATCTTTTAACTTCATCTTCACCACTACCAGGACTGTGAATTTATTTATTAATTTCCTCCTGCAAATGATTTCTATTTTAAACTTATCCAGTGTATTGGGAAAGTTCTCTTTCTAAGTGAAGCAATTCAAAACATAAGTGAGCAGGGAGAGGAAAATGGTAGTTATGCACAGAGATGTGTGCGTGTGTGTGTGTGTCTGAGTGAGTGGGTAGTGAATCCCTTTGAGAGGAAATCAGGAAAGGATTGCTTGTGAGAGAACCTCAGGCTCATGGTAAGCCCCACCCTAAAAACATACGATCATTTTTTATAAATAATACGTATTGATGTTTACATATTGATGCTTAACTCTAATATGCCCCATGGTTCATATTATGGTTTATTTCCTTAATGCTTCCTGAGTCTTTTCCTCCATTAGACTATAAAACCTGATTTCTTTTCTTCGGAAAAATCATCAAATCCAGTATTATACATATAGGATCTAGGTAACAAATTTTGACCAACTGAATTATTGTCCCATTTCAATCTAACAATCATATTCTCTAAAGGGGTTATAAATAGAGTTTGATATCAGATATCTAGATGCCATCAGCACCCAAAACAGGTATAAGGAATAATGTTAATAAATGGAATATTTGGCTGTATTCATGCCATGGAGTTTCTCTCTTGCTTCACCCACCTCTGGCTTCCAGACATCTAAGCAGATGGAGTACTTTTTCTAAGTTTGAAAGTTAATATTAAAACTGATATAAAAATACAGTAATGGTTTTCAGGTTAAATATTTCTCAGACAAAGTAGGAAATCATTTTTATCCAACACACGACTCGATATAGTATTTTCTAACAAGGAATTTTCCTGTGAACGAGTAAAAGAGATTTGGAATTTGTTGCCCTTCGTAAATCAGCTCTCCAAACATGGAATTCTATTTTTCAAAATTAAGCCAAGAAAATAAAATCTACCAAAAAGAAGGCATATTGATTATTGCTGTTCCTATAGGTAATATTCTGAAATATTGCTCACTGAGGTTTGAATACCTAACTCTGTAGTTACCTTTTCTCTTTTTTCTGTTTTATGGGTTGCAGTGGAAGAACACATGCTTTAAACAGTTGAGAAAAACTAAGGATTACAGTGACGCCAAGCAAGGGCCAAGATGTGGTCAAAACTTTGTGCTAACCTGCCCTGAAGTTGCCTATTTCCAGGTGAATTGTATCCTAAATGCATTTAAGAAAGCCAGTTCTCTCCTGTTGCTTGTCAGAAAAGCAAGATCTAGTTTATTTCAGGAAGATATGAGTTTATAATACTTACGTTTTTTACCTATAACATAAAGCCAACGATATTGTCTACTTACAAAATATGAAAATAACCTGGAGTTAGATAGATATACCGAAAAAGGAAAGGAATTTGCACTTGAGCTGTAGTGAGACATTCAGGTACAGAAGCAGAAACAAGATCAAGGCGGAGAGAACCTGCCTTTAGAACAGTCGACATCAGCAAATCCCTAGTTTGGGCAGCAGGAAAACTTCTCAGTGAAGTGAAGACACCTTAAATCCTGATTTAATCCTCTACTTTGTTCTTCTCATGTGTTATGGTTCTACAGGTTTGGGTTTCTGTGAGACCTGCCTCCATGTTGGTAATTCCTGTTTTCCTTCTATCCATGCCAGTTCTGATGCAAAATCATCCATTGTGAAGAAACATAATGGAGTCTCTTCCTTGCAACCATAACTTTGGCAGCATTCATTGATTTTTGTCACTAGTGGTTGCTGTGAAAAAGGTGTCAGTACTTAAGTTCACGTTTTTACCCACAGTGGTGGAATATACTAATTGGTTAGTGTACCAATGACAAATCCAGATCTTTAAAAAGAATTCTAGATGAATACACTTTAAATTGTGTTCACATTTAAAATAAAATAATTACTGGCTACAACACTGGATCAGTCCTATGAATATTCTCCTATGGGTCTACATGAACTTTTCAGAGCTTGATTGAAATATCTTATTGTTAAAGATTAAATTATTTACACTGACTACGATGAGCTGGACTATTGTAAGTGAGCAAAAATAAACCACGAAGAAAGTAGAAGACCATTAAGGGAAAGGGCAAAGGGGAAAGATTAAAGAGAGTAGTTACTACATGGGGCATGTAAACCCAGAATAGGGTGACTTAAGCCCTGAGAGCGTGGCTGAAGCACTTTAACTTCAAGGTCCCATTCTCTTCTGTCTCAGTCTCAGTACCACAGCTCCTTGATGTAAGTCTATTGAGCTCCTGAGCACGGCAGGGAGGCAACAGTACAAATTCTTCAAGTCAGAAGGGAGAAGGTTCTTGAATTTAGATTTATTCTTTGAGTCTTTTCATCCAACGAAAGCTGCCTGGCAGAGCAGTTAAGAGCAATGGAATATTACTCAGCCATAAAAAGAAACGAAATTGAGCTATTTGTAATGAGGTGGATAGACCTAGAGTCTGTCATACAGAGTGAAGTAAGTCAGAAAGAGAAAGACAAATACCGTATGCTAACACAGATATATGGAATTTAAGAAAAAAAAATGTCATGAAGAACCTAGCAGTAAGACAGGAATAAAGACACAGACCTACTAGAGATGGACTTGAGGATATGGGGAGGGGGAAGGGTAAGCTGGGACAAAGTGAGAGAGTGGCATGGACGTATATACACTACCAAACGTAAGGTAGATAGCTAGTGGGAAGCAGCCGCATAGCACAGGGAGATCAGCTCGGTGCTTTGTGACCGCCTGGAAGGGTGGGATAGGGAGGGAGGGAGGGAGGGAGGGAGACGCAAGGGGGAAGAGATGGGAACGTGTGTGTATGTGTGGCTGATTCACTTTGTTGTGGAGCAGAGGCTAACACACCATTGTAAAGCAATTATACTCTAATAGAGATGTGAAAAAAAAACCCAAAAAACATGGGCTTTTGGCCTCTGCTTGAATGGGTCCACCCGGCTCTGCCAGGTAGTGACTGTGTGACTTTGAAACTGTGACTTCATTTCCATATCAAAAAACCTGTAGCCAGGAAAGGAGCCTACTTTGTAGAGTTAAATAGGGATCAAGAGAGGTAAATATAAATGTAAAGTATCTGATACACAGTAAGCACATCGAGTGGCAACTTACAGTATTGTGAGGGGAAGATATTCTATCATCTATTATCTATTTATCATTTGTCTACTTTCTACCTCGTTACAAAAGGCATTCAATGTGGATAAATAGATTCTAGCAAAAGAAAACATACATGTCTTACTGGAAGTTATTAGGGTGCTCAGGAATTTGGGGCAGCCACCTGGACTTGATGCTACCTGTCCTGTACTTTGCCCTAAAACTGGTCTCTTTATGTTGTGCTGTGAAGACCACTGAGGAACAGAAACATGTCTTCATGAACTGAGTAAATTACGGTTTCCTCTCCCTGTGTGAAGCCTGTAGTTTTCTCCTCAGTGGAGTGGAGTATGCTTATTGAGCATCGTCACCTGGATTTGTAAGATATCAGACAAACTGTCTCTTCAGGCCTGCACTTGTCATTATCGTTTTGAGGAGGGCCGGTATGGCCTACGATACTCAGGGAGGAAAGTAAAGTCAGAAAGTACAAAAGCATCCCCATTAAAGTGCAGCTTAAGAAAGATATAAGCCCAGTAAACTTTGAAGTTAGTGAGAGGTAGGCCGATGATGCTGGGAATTGTGATTAACTGCAGTTCCACTCAGGTGCTGTGCCACTGTATCTGGATGGATGACTTTAGATATTGTGAGAGAACATAAAAGACTAAAAGCAGCAGCAAAATTTTAAAAGAGCTTTAGGTTGTGATGAACTCTGTTATTTCTGAGCGTTTTCCCGTGGTTTGCATATTATTAGCAACCCGAGGTGAATGGATTTGCCTCGGAACCACACTATAAATCATCATCTGAGGTAGTCGTAACAGTCATTACCAGTGTTTGTGTTCCGCACTAAAACGTCTTTTTGTGCTTACTCTCTCTTCTTCCTTTGCATTCCACCGATCATCAATCACGAAAGCAGCTTGGCCATTTCTCTCTGTCTTGCCTCAGTGAACTCCGACTTTCCTTGACCGTTAACCCCTAACTGGAATGCACAAGGCCTGGACGCCTCTGTGGGCCCCGATTCACCTCTCGCAATGAGCTTCCCTTCCTGGCACTGAACTGCAAGGCAATATTTTCCATCTGTTGAATGAAGAGCATGACACAGGCAGCTGGATATGGTTTTGGAGCCCAGGGCAAACCAACGATGCACAACTCACTTTTATTCCACAAGCCTGTGGGAGCCCAAAGAGATAAGAGGCCTTTCTGCTAGGCTGAACACAGAGCCTGGCATTCAGAAACAAACCCTCCTTCCTGAAATACTCAATATGTTTTTTATTCAAGCCAGAAACATTGTGGGTTGGAATAATCTAAGGATGAATCTAATCTGAAGTTATCTTGAAACGTGTGAGTAAGCTTCTCTTTCATACACCAGCTGTTTTCTTTCCGTTGAATGTTTACTGGATGGGGGAATCAGCCAGTGTTTCTTACGCAGTAGCGGGGAAATTTTGTCTGCTCCAAAAGAAACTACAAGGCCTTTCCAAGGAGGAGAGAGGAAGAATGGTTCATCATGGGTTCACACAAATTTGGGGGCAGGGGGCTCTGATAAAATCACATCCTCAAATTAGGAAATACTTTTCTTTATAAAGCATTCTAAGAAATGTTTTATCCATGACTGCTAGCTCTCCTTATCAGAATATTTGAGACAAAAATGGTTAAAATAGCATTGCTAAGGGTATAAAAATAATTTTCCCAAACATTTAAAAATATATTACAGGATTTGTAATAAATGTTGATATATATATATACTTTCTTAATTTACACATTTGAGGAGAAAAATGACTTGTTAGGTATTCTGAATAGGATCGTTGGCTTTAAAAATCAAAATGGGGAGAAATAATCTTGGTAAAGGGAAAAAAGTTATGTAATGATATTTACTTGTTCAAAACATGTCAGTTGCTCTTCAAGAATTGAATTATATCCTGGCATGGTTTTCAAGACTTCATGACTACACCCAAATTCACTCCAGTCAAACAGTACCGTTTACTCATATTAAAACATCCAAATATTCTTGACACTTTTTCCTATGTTCTCTGTGTCTGAAATTCCCTTTTCCATCAATTTTGCATATTAAAATTCAACCTACAGAGGACACTCTTGTTAGTTAATCTTTCTAAATCTTCCTTATTTCATTAATATCCTTCCCTCTGGAAATAATCACATTTTAACTATTTTGTGCTGTGAATGGCATTCTTATCTCTTCTTTTTGACAATTCTGTTTGCAACTACATGACAGCTACATTTTATTGCACCTACACTGCCTTTAGACTCTGCACTAGGTGTAATACATATGTTCCCTCATACTATCTCTACAGCAAGTTTTTGAGGTTAATATTATTATCTTCATTTACAAATAGGAAAACAGAATTCATAAAAGGCTGAGACACTTGCTCAAGGTCAGCCACTGCTACGCGGTCAAAGTGGAATTTAAACCTGAATGTGCCTGATTAAAAAAGCCCAATTCTTGGGAGGCAGAAGACCTACATAGACATTTCTCAAAAGAAGACATACAGATGTCCAACAGACACATGAAAAGATGCTCAACATCACTAATCATTAGAGAAATGCAAATCAAAACCACAATGAGGTACCACCTCACACCAGTCAGAACGGCCATCATTAAAAAGTCTACAAATAATAAATGCTGGGGGCTTCCCTGGTGGCGCAGTGGTTGAGAGTCCGCCTGCCGATGCAGGGGACACGGGTTCATGCCCCGGTCTGGGAAGATCCCACATGCCGCAGAGCGGCTGGGCCTGTGAGCCATGGCCACTGAGCCTGCGTGTCTGGAGTCTGTGCTCCAAAACGAGAGAGGCCACAACAGTGAGAGGCCCGCGTACCGCCAAAAAAATAATAATAATAAAAAAAAATAATAAATGCTGGAGAGGGTGTGGAGAAAAGGGAGACTGCCTACACTGGGAATGTAAATTGGTGCAGCCACTATGAAAAACATTATGGAGTTTCCTTAAAAAACTAAAAATAGAGTTGCCGTATGATTCTGCAATCCCACTCCTTGGCATATATCCAGAGGAATCTATAATTCGAAAAGATACGTGCACCCTCCCAATGTTCATAACAGCACTATTTACAATAGCCGAGACATGGAAGCAACCTAAGTGTTCATCAACTGATGAATGGATAAAGAAGATGCGGTACAAATATACAATGGAATATTATTGAGCCATAAAAAGAATGAAATAATGCCATTTGCAGCAACGTGGATGGACCTAGAGATCATGATACTAAGTGAAGTAAGTCAGAAAGAGAATGACAAATACCATATGATACCACTTATATGTGGAACCTAAAATATGGCACAAATGAACTTATTTATGAAACAGAAACAGACTCACTGACATAGAAAACAAGCTTATGGTTACCAAAGGGGAAAGGGAGGAGGGGAGGGATAAATTAGGAGTTTGGGATTAGCAGATATAAACTACTATATATAAAATAAATAAACAACAAGGACCTACCGTATAGCACAAGGAACTATATTCAATATCCTGTAATAAACTATAATGGAAAAGAGTATGAAAAATAATATATATATGTATAACTGAATCACTGTGCAGTACACCAGAAACTAACACAACATTGTAAATCAACTGTACTTCAAAAAAATAAAAAAAGCCCAATTTTCTTTTTCTCTGTTCTAGTTTTGTGGGCGTTTTTGCGGACATGCACCAACTGCTGGGTCTGATCTTAATCTCTCTAGGCTCCAGTGCATCTCATTCGGTACTGATACTGCCAATGAATTTTATCAGACTACATCCAATTCACAAAAACTTGGTCAAGTTTATAGAAAAATGTAATACAAAACTGCCATTGGTTTTGTTTAGATATTTGTCTCAGATTCCACAATTGTTAGATATGAAATAATTCCAATATATGCACACAAAGTACTCAGCCATGTAAGGTTTATGTGTGCATGTATAAGTGTGTGGTATAATCATCCACTGATTTTCAGATAAAAGACAATTTATTCTTTTAATACTTGTCACTCACTGTTTCTCTCATTTATTGAATTCTTTATGCTAATTTTGGTAGTTAAAAAGAATCTGAATTTTCGCCTGTTAAATGACCTTTATTTTGTTAATATTTGGTTAGGAAAAGGCATTTGCTTATTATTTTTTTCTCATCCTTAGAATTTTTCATGAATTGTTTTATAAAATTTAGGTGAGATTTATTTGCGATAAGCATCGAGCCATGTTCCTTGTAAACAAATAAGACCACGGTCTTTGAGAACCTAAATGTACTAATGAAGAATATTGGGGGGAAATAACTTGCCAACCGTAACCTTGGAACCAAAAAATGTTACAAAATTTTTCTGTTCAAAGTTTATAACAGAACCTGTTGCCTCCAAGGCCATAAACAATTATGATTATGGTTAGATACTCACTTAATACATTTATTTGTCCTTTTAAAGTTTGATTAACAAAAATGTACCTTTACCAATTTCAGTGTGTGTGTGTGTGTGTGTGTGTGTGTGTGTGTAAGAAGGAAAGGTATTGAATTAATTGTTGAAAAATTCACAATATTTTGGTTCTTTTCCACTTTAAAATGTCACCAAATTTACATAGACCATCAAAGTTTAGTATCCTTCCAAGTATAAATTTTGGACAGTGTCACTTGATAATAAAATACTTATGTATAAGATGCAGTCTACCATTAAAAAACCTGTAGTCTATTTTGTGTACATATGTAATTATTGAAAGAGAAAATGTTTCCCCTGGCTCCAATCTTCCTCACTTCCAATCTACCCTTTATTTTCAGTTACAGGAACTTTTCTAAAATACAAATAAGAATATATAACATATTCTTACTTGAAGTCCTTCACGCACTCCATGACTTTCATGATAAAGTACAAATTTGTTGGCTTATCCCTCCAAATTGTTTTTGACATGGTTCCTTCTTACATCTCTAGCCTTAACATCATCTTAAATACCTTAAATATCAAGACATAGATCTTTTTATTTCCTGAAGTAACCATATTACTTTGGAGAATCTGGAGGCACTTAATGAAGGAAGTGATGTTTAAAAAGACTCTTGAAGAAGAGATGGACATTGATAAGTAGAGGAAAAGGGGTGTAAGCATGCTGGGTGTGAAGTGTCATAGGCTAGGGCAAAGGATGCGAACAGAAGAGGCATGGGTTTCCAGGAACCGGGGAAGAGTTTATAATGAGAGTAAATGGGACTGTGAACTAGAATCTGGATGAAGGATGGGGTTTGCTATTTTTTAACTCACGGATGGTTCCTAGATCTTTAGAGTTGGAAAGGGTCTCAGAAATTGAAGAGAGGAGATGATGAAGAAGGAGAAAGGAAAAGAAGAAGACAAAAGTAAGCTTAGTCCTCTAAGAGAACTCATCTTTACAATTTTATTCTACATTAACTACATTTCAGCAAAATTATTTTTCTGTTAATAATAAAATCAGCTAACTTTGTTACACTTGGTTACTAGGTTATATCCTGAAACATACAAATCATTTCACATTCAACATTGTGAAACCATCATCATTTCACATGTAATACTAAACAGTTAATAAATGGAGTCCTAGGTATTCGTACCCTTAATTTTTATGGTTAAAGCATGGATTACAGCAACAGAAGATCACAAACCTGTGTTCTTAGTTTTAATTGCCGAACAGTGATTCAGGTCATGGCTTTCTTTTATTTTCCAGTAATTATTTAGTACTGTTGATAGGACATAGTGGAAATGAATACTGTTTAAAAACGTAGTCATGTATTTCTTTCCCAAATGTCATCTTAACATTACATAAAGCCTTAAACTTCCCGTATACATTTACAAAGAGCTTTGAGAGGAACAGGAGAAGGAAAAGCTGATTCTCATTACTCTTTGAAGTTGAGACTAAAAACAAAAGATAAGAGTAGGAAATTACTTATATCCGAGCCAGCTTCCTATCGTCATTAATGAAGTTATCTTTATCTCCCTGAGTTGTTTATTGTTCTGATTTAATATAAAAAGTTGATGTTTCTTAAAGACACTGTTTTCTTTTGAGGTTAGTATAAAGAAGATAATAAACTGTCCATAAATCACAATAATGAACATATAAATCTACTGTGCACTTTTTATTATGCTTCAGGTTTTTATATTCCTCATGTATTGATCATGAACTACATGTTTACATTTAAATTCTTTTTCTAGGCTTTGAAATTAAATTAAGATTATAAAACAAGATAATTTACTGTTTTTAATTTGAAGTGAATCTATTTTATACATTTTTATTGATTTATTAAATACATCAATTTCCTAAAAATCTATTTTAGTGGTATTTATTGAAAATCGTAATTTTTATTATTCATCTTCATTATTTAGATTGTATTTACAAAATACTTCCCTGTAAAATGTAAATTAAGTGTGCCTGCATGAAGAAAAAAGGGTAGCTTTCACTCCCCTTTTTTTTACATCCTTCAAGGTAGTTGGGCTTACGCAGAATCTCCATAGCTGCTTGCTATTTTTCATTGTGCCCTTTAGAGCCACTACACAGCCAAAATGACTATATCCACACTTTGACTGGATGCTACATTTCTTCCTTCTAATACAGCAGGCTCAGTTTCATTCATTGGATTGGGAAGAAAACAACGGAGTGTACAAAGGACAACATATTGTTCCCATAAATTTAAAAGATTGCTATCATCTATCCCTTAATCCAACCAAAATAATATCTCATCAGGAAGAGCTTTCAACCTATCTTGTCATATATCATGTGCTTTTCAGGCTCTGTTCTTTTTTATAGTATAAATTTGTATACTTTACAACATTTCTGAAAATCAGGTGCAGAGTATCTGAACCTTGTTTCCAAATTTTGTGTTCCATCTGCCATTTTATTTCTCATTTAAGATACATCCAATGTCTCCAGTGAAATGGCATGAAAAGCCCAGAGGCCTCTTGATCAACTCCTTGTTAAGGAGCTGAAGCAGAACACGTCTCCCGTGGTAGAGTGTACTAAAAAGACATTTTCACCCTGAAATTAGGAATTTGTATTTAATATATTTATCACAGTGCCTGTAGAGTATAAATATATGGTTATCCCTGCTGTTTTATTACTTCATTATAATTTGTCATTAACTTTTTGTGCTTTAGTTTCTTTACTTGTTGACTAGAGATAGAACAGTTGCTTGTAAAGGGCATCAAAAGAAATGCACAGATGTGAAGACAAGTGTGAAGATAGGATATTAAGCTACTACCATAGGTTTTGAAACTTTGGCTCAATAGTTTTATTACTATTTTTGTTTATATTAGATATATGTCCAGAATCAACAATATGTTAGAGGCATGAGTTAACATTCCCTAATCCATTGAGCTTTAAGTCTCCTGCAGGGTAATATCTTATTCTGCTGCCAAAGGGAGTGTCTGAAAACAGAAAACTGATCGTGTCATTTCCATGTTGCAAATCCTTTAATAGCTCCCTTTAGTATGAAACTCCAAACTCCCACTCAGGATGTGTAAGATTCTTCTCAAATTGGACCCTAACTATAATTAAAATTTAATTTTTTACCACACTTCCAGGTACACGTTGAGTTCTACACACACTGAACTATTGGTAGCTCCTAACTCAACACACTTATGTCTTCATTTACATTTCTGAATCCCTAGAGGTCAGAGACCATGTTGTCACCGTCTTGTTTTCTTCAGCAGCCCTCCAAGTAATGCCTGGCTGCAGAAGACTTTGAGACCTTGTAGGTTCAATGAGCTCATAACTTGTATCGTGCTTAGAACTCACAAGGTAGCACTACATACCTCATCTTATTTTTTTTTATTTTTATTTATTTTTATTTTTTTTATTTTTTATTTTATTTTTTTTTACAGGTGTCTGAGGTAGGAAAACAAGGCTGCCCCACTCGTGGCAGCCCTGACAATGATCCTCAAGGGGTGATCTTGGCCTCCAGTCTTCCTCATCTTATTTAATTCTCACAACAACACTTTGAGTTGGGAGTGCAGGAATTATCATATTCTCTAGGAAACTGAGGCTGCAGGAGAGTAACTCACTCACCTGAGATCTCAAAGCTGGTGAGTGATATAACCCAAGATTCTACCACCCTTTCACTAATCACTTTTTTAATTAAACCTCATTGTGTTAGTAACATGCATATATGATATAGTAAATACATTATATGTGTGTGTATGTATGTATGTATGTGTGTATATATATATATATATATTTTTTTTTTTTTTTTCTTTCATTCTGTTGGTTTGTTTCTTTGGAGAATCCTGACTCATACAGGGCTCACCATATTCTCTTTTCCCCCCGGAGTAATTCCTCTCCTAGCTCTTTCCCTGCAGTTCCCATGGAGGGAGTATAAACACAAGGATTGGTAATGTAGTGGGATTTTATTATAGCTGGGCAGGTTCTGGAAAAATTTCCCCCTGAATTCAGATCTCCTATTTGTCTCATCAATCAATTCAGATCTAGGACGTTCTGTAAAGCTGATTGTATTGGTTTCCTAGGCCTGCCCTAACAAAGTACCACAAACTGGATAGTTTAAAACTACAGAAATTTATTGCCTTACAGTTTTAGAAGCCAGAAGTATGAAATCAAGGTGTTGTTAGCTCCCTCTCAAACCTGCAGGGGAATCCTCCCTTGCATCTTCCCAGCTTCTGGTTTTGGCCTACAGTTGCTGGCATTCCTTGGTTTGTGGCTGCATAACCTCCTTCTCGGCTTCTGTTATCACATGACATACTCCATGTGAGTCTGTCTTTACATGGCCATCTTCTTATAATATCACCAGTCACATTGGATTAGAGGACCAGCCTACTCCAGAATAACCTCATTTTAACTTAATTAATTATATCTTCAATGACCCTATTTCTAAATAAGGTGATATTCTGAGGGGCTGGGGGTTAGAATTTCAATGTATTTGTGGAGGGAACCACAATTCAACTTATAAAACTGAGTAAATTTGTGGATCAACTGGCAGCAGTCTAACTTGCCAGAACAGAAACAGAGAGAAAATGAGTACTACCTGACCAGGGGCCATGGCCATACCCGGGCCACCAGACTCTGCCTAGGTCTACCACGTTAGTTAATTATTTGGAACCAGGAAAGGCAGAAGGTTCTCAGTCTTTAAGATGAAGATACTGTAGATAGTATATATCCTGGCCCAGTGACTATCTCCCCTGACAATCAGACTGTCCATTCACATTTAAAGGATTGAAATAGTGAAGAGAAGAAGAACAAAGCTAATAGAAACCTGAGGAGAATGCATGAAGGGCTTTCAAATACGAGGGGAAAGGTTCTGTATGTTCATCACTATTTTTCCAGTTCCTGGCACATAGTACCCATTACATAAATATTTATTAAACAGATGAATCTGTGTTAGCAAAGTGTTAGCAAAGTACCAGGCACATAATAAGATGTCTATAAATATTATTCTTATAAATGTTATTTCTACTGCATATGTCTACGACATCAAGACCTTGGTGTCATTGTCATTCACTTGTTTATTTAGTTCCTTCTGGGGATTGTTACATATAGACTCCCTGAAGTAGGATGGAAATACTGCATTTATTCAAATAAAACAAAATCACGGCTTACTGTAAGACTCCATTTAATGACTCAGTGCAAAGCTAAATGCTCTCTGTATGAAATTTATTTGTTCAATTAACCCTACAAAAATTACTTGGCACCTTGTATTCATCCGTTATTCATGTATTCATTTACCCTTTCTGCAGACGAGTGTTTGCTACCTGCTATGTGCCAGGACCCTTGTTAGATGCTAGGAAACAAAGTCTGAACCCCGTCCCTCAGGGAATTCTCTATCTAGTGAAATAGTGTCCTAGTCAGCTTGGGCTATCATAACAAAATACCGTCGACTGGGTGACTTAAACATCAGACATTTATTTTCTGGAGGACAGGAGCTCTCTTCCTGGCTTGTAAATGGCCACCTTCTTACTGTGTCCTTACACGGCCTTTTCTCAGTGCACACGGTGGGGGGCGGGGAGAGAGAGAGAGAGAAAAGGAGATCCTCTTCCCTTCCTCTTCTTATAAAGTCACCAATCCAATCATGAGCGACCCATCCTCATGAACTAATCTAAATATAATTATGTCCCAAAGACCCCATCTCCAAGTACCATCACATTGGGGGCTAGGACTTCAACATATAAATTTGGGGGGGGGGACACAAACATCTAGTCCATAACAAATAGAGACACAATGGAACCAATAATTATGACATAGGAGGTCACCTCCAAAAGGGGGTTGTTGAGATGGAGATACCAAACATGGCTCACACCTTCTAGAGGCTTGTTTGAGATAAAGTTAAAGTGAAAGACACATAAAGTATCGGGGGATTTTTTTTAGGATGAGGGAAATTTTATTATATTTAAAAACTTCAGAGAAGGAGAGCAAGAGTAGGTTGCAGTTGTACCAGTGATGGGAAAAAAGTGATGAAGCCAAATAACGCAGCAGATGGGAAAGTGTAAGATGAATTACACAGGTGAACAGCTTAGTTTTAAACAAGAAAAAGGGTAACTTCTTCTCTAAGACTGTAAAAGAAAACATATATAGAAGTGTAGATACATTTGTAAAGTTGGGGTGGCAGTTTGAAACAGTTCAAATATTGACCACGTTTTCTCCAAGACAATTTTCTTTGAATAGAGTAGAGGAAGGTATTTGAATAGGAGACTTGTGGGAAAATTTTAACATTCGAAATAACTTTTGAGGAAGTAGGAGAGAAAACTGCTTAAAGGAAATAAAAGATTATTGAGAAGCACTGAATCCCCAGGTGAGTTGACAACCATACATTTGACAACCATACATTTACTGTCAGACAAATCTATTTACTTGGGAGAATTTCTCGAGAACTACTAAGGAGCTGTGGCATTACAGTAGTAAACTTCTAAGATTAGTAGGCTAATAAATAAATATTATGTACATTTATGATTTTTGTTGTTTTTGTGGTTAACATAAATTAGAAATCCAATTTTTTTTTTCATTTGCTGCTTCTCCAACCACTTAAAATCCATTCGTCCACTTGGAGATTCTCAAAGGAACATCATTTTTAACACACCAGGGGCTCTTTCAGTTATTGTTCAACTGATAATCCATCATCCCTGTGTACACCACCTCTTGGAGAACTCTTACATCTAGATCTCTTCCTTATTCTTGCTTCAGTCTTCTATTGAGAATATGCTAATGAAAAATATTGATCAATATGTTATGAATGTAAAATAAGATAAGCAAAGGCCCTTTTGCTCAGTGAAACCTCTACCAGCTGGCACTGTGATAAATAAAATTCTATCATTAGATCTGTAGTTTTAGTCCTTTCTTACGATTCAAATACAGAAGGAAATGATTACAGGTAAATGTTAATAGGTATCTGTACTGGTTTTTGTTCATTTACTTGTTTATTTGTTTTTAGATCGTTTCCCAAGAGCATATGTTTACAATGAAGAAAGGAAGAGAGCATGATACACCAGAGCAAAGCACCCATGTGTGTGTTGGGAATTGGGAGTAAGTACAGAAGTGAATGAGAGCAGAGCAAGTGAACTGGAGGCCCCATGACGTTGCTTCCGTTGTAACTGCCAAAGCCATATTCAGCCTCTTCTGACAGCTACGTCTCCTCTATTCTCTAGATGGGGGCTGCTCATATAAAGGAAAAATTCGAGGTTTGAGGAAAATCAATTATAGGTTTTGTCTGGAGCTCGTGAGAGTAAATGAAGGTGGTGGCAGTATTAGAATAAAAGGGTGTGGATGCTGTCAGAGCATTTTTAGGCATTGGGAAATACAGGTAAGCGGCTTAGGAAGGTGCTAAAATTTAGGGACAAATTTGGAAATCATTCACATCGAAATGATCTCTGTTGTTCAGTGATGGATTCATGTATTATTTACTCCTGGAATGGGAGGAATGCTAAAAATCAAAATGCACTTTAACACTGGGACTGAGAACTCAGATCTTGGACTCTGAGAGTTTGCTGCCAAATTACTGCTCCAGGAATTTCTGTGTCATTTTGGGCAAGACACTCAAAATATCTTAGGCTCAGCAGGAACACTGGTAACATGGAGATAAAAACTATTTCAGAGCTTTAGTTGAGGATTAAGTGGGATAATGCATGTAAAGGGATGAGCAGATGCCTGACATTTACTATGTCCTCAACAAGTGTTACTTAATATTATTATGAATGTTATCATTATTAGCTTATGTACAAAAATTGGCAGGCTTGCCTTTCACCAGTTGTTGGTTTCTTAAACAACTATCAGTCACAATCTTCTCCACTGTATACACAGAATACTTGATACAAAATAAGGGGGGTATTTAATGATTTAAAAAAAAAAATCAGGAAAAAGCACCTGGTGAATGTTAGTATATTCACAGTCTACAGGAAATTCAATTCAATGAAGAAAGGAAATCCAGCATCAGTCTGGAACAACTGTCAGTCTCCAAAATTGATTTTTGGGAGTGCAGAGTGATAATCTTTTACCCGAGTTTCTTAGAGCGAAAGCTTTACAAGGGGGCTGTCTGATAGTTAAGTCCGTTTTAAAAGATATTTCTGTAAACACGCTAAAGTGCTTCCTGTCTCAGACTAGTTCTTGCCGAATGACAGGGCACTATTCAGCGTGATGCCTGGAGCTGAAAATGCAGGAAGCTATAGCTCGTTCTTAATGAATAAATCCTGTGTGTTCCTGCTGTCACTTCTGCTAACGCTTTTGTAGAAGCCAAGGCTGGTGCTGCGGTAAACTATCAATAATTAGGACCAAGCGGGTCGGCTATTTTAGTATCTTGACATAGCAGAAACATCTGTTCCTGTATATACTTCTTTTAAAGCACTGAAGTACAACTTGGAAAAAATTAGTTCCTAGAATGTATCGTGTTTTTTCAACCAGTGTTTCCTCATGTGAGGAAATAAAACATCCATAAAACAAACTATTTTTGAATAAAATAAAGATAACCCTGTCGTGAGAGGTATTTAATTCTTAAATTATTTATTAACATTGGTTTG